TTCTGTCGGAGCTGCCTGCGACGCGCTGATGAGATCCAAAAAGATCGAAATCGCGATCCGCGTCTGGCAGTTTCGACAGAATACAGACCACTTCGATTTATTTTATTCGATTAAGCTAACGTGCCTATCACGTTGAGGTTGGCTACGCCAGGATTCGTTTTCAGCAAGTAGATATTCACACAAGTGGACCTTGTTGGAGCATACGTAATCCTAAAATGTAGCATCGTGCTACAGATGGCGTTCACTGTGCCATTTGTAGTATTTTCTAAACAATAATACTTCATAAACACAAACGGTTGATAATACGTTCACAATGTTGCGGTGGGGTCGCGTAAAGCTAGCATAGATACCTGCCCAACTTACCAAAAAGTAATTCCGTTTAAACTGTGTTTTCAAAACGGTCACGTTCATTAAACGAATAAAAGTAATAAATTTCTACCACTTGTTTTTATTTATTTTTTCAGCTACTTTGCTTTTCAGAAAGATGAAAAATAAAATTTAGCTCCGGTAAGCTTCCATTATAAAAATGCGGAACCAAACGCAGAAACAGATGTGAAACAGTATACAGAACTTCCGCAATTACGAACGCGGAAGTAGAGTTCTGTTGCAATACTAGGCAATAGACGGGATTTACTTTATCCTTTCCCATTAGGAAGGGTGTCAGACAGGGATGCACACTGTCACCGCTTCTTCTTAATCTATACATCGAAGACATGATCAACATCATTAAAAACAGTATAACTGTAGGGATAGATGTACAGGGGCAAAAGATTAGTATGCTTAGATTTGCTGATGATATAGCAGTATTAGCATCTAGTAAGGAGGAGTTACAGATAGCTTTAAATAAAATGGAAGCGGTAGGGACAAAACACTACTGTATGAAAATAAATAAAAGTAAAATTAATGTACTGGCTTGTAAGGGAAGAAAGAAAGTAAGGAAAGAGCGAATATAAACATAGGTGACGAAAAATTAGTGGCTGGTTTTAGATATCTAGGAAGTCAGATAAGTCTTGACGGAAGAAGTAGTAGGGATATAAAGCAGAGGATAGCACAGGGTCGTGTTGCCTTTAATAAAAAGAAGTCACTTCTATGCTCGCGAACGGTTAATTTAGAAATTCGGAAAAGGTTGTTAAAGGTATGTTTGGAGCGTGGCGCTGTACGTGTACGAAACATGGACGGTGGGCGCGGCGGAAAAGAAAAGGTTGGAAGCGTTCGAAATGTGGTGTTATAGGCGAATAATAAGGATAACGTGTATAGAAAAGGTTAGAAATGGAGAGGTATTAGAAAGAATAGGAGAACAAAGGACTCTATGAAAGTCAATAAGAAATAGACGAGATAGATTAATAGGACACCTTCTCAGGCATGAAGGTCTAGTCAGAGACATATTAGAGGCAGAAACAGGAGTTAGGAAGGGTAGAGGTAGACCTACATTAGATTACTTTTCGCAAATAGTCAAAGATGTGGATAGGAAAGAGTGGAGGTACGTGTCCAACCAGTCTTAGGACTGANTAATCTTACAGTACCTAGATTAGTTATCGGTATCTCTTTCTATTAAGAAGCATGTATTCCGAAATATAACCTAGCTTACTGGTCAGTGCTGATGACATCATGAATCGACGCCATACTGTTGATTCGTTCCGAAATATATTGGTCAGTGCATTGACGTCAAACTGACGCCATATTGACAATAGTGTTTGTACTCGTTTACAACAATTTTGCTCCAAAACTTACTAGTTTTTACAATAAAAAATTTCTCAAAATCTGATGGACACACGCTCGTTTGCAATACTGTTACGTTACACTTGTCTCACTAGTACATTATGTAGTACTATTTGAGGTACACCTCGATATGGACTAAAAAAAAAAGAAAAAATTAACGTTAATAAACTTTAATGGATAACGTAATATCCTCCGGATAGGTAACTGTAATTTTATTAAAATTCAAAATCACCATTGAGGTATTGTCAAAGTGCGTTACCTTTTTTAACAATCCCACACAAAGAAGTCAAATGGATTTAGATCAACACTACTTACCGGCCATGGTATAGGACCCAAACGTCCATTCCAGTGTCCAGGAAAATATCCGTCCAAAAACTCACGCAGTGGTCAATCCATTGTAAACATAAACATAGTCAATCACGCCTAATTTAATCTATCAAATAACAAACATATTAGTACAAAAATACAAAAGAAATACAACTCGGATGATGTATAGTAGCTGATTGAATGAGGCGTTGCAATGTCATATTTTCCAACGTGATCTTACCAGAGCCGGACTGGCCCTTGTCTGTGCTTTTATATACCTTCTTCTCTGAAACGGTAGACTTTCAGACCACTAAACATTTACTTAGTTTTCTTGTTTTATAGATCCCTATTACTTCCTGCAAACTTCTAACTTATTTCAGAAACACCTTATATTTGTTGGTAAAAGAATCATTGACACCTTGAAATTAGCATGAAATGTGAATTACTGTAGGAATACTATCAAAACACTGCTGGTATCAATTATTAAATTGGTCTTGTTTGTATCTGCTTCCGAAATTGCTTCAAAGGCAAAATTAAAACGATTTAAATTGGTTATTTTGGAAGGTTTTCCTATTTCACTGAAGGTAACTTCTATAGAGATCTTAATTATTAGCTAAAGGCGAGATTAAAGGGATCGATGTTAAATAGGGACATCATTATAAAGTATATATTAACCGAAGGAGACGTTCCCGAGCAGAATTAATTGAAGATTCATTAGTTTGCCAAAGCCAAATCGGTGAATAAATAAAGGCAATTTATGTCTCATGCGCGTTTATCAACTGGATGTGGCTTTTGAGGACAATCGTTACGATCGTTTTGTTGCCAAGACGTTACATTACAAACAACGATTCATTTCATGCTTCAAGACAGTCTAGAAGAAGAAGAAGACCATCTCGTGGTTGAACTTGTAGTCGGAAAATTTAAAACATTAACAGATGGCGGAGCATAAAGTTCTGGTTGTCATGGTATTCACTAACTTAATCGCAAAATTTTCCTTTATTAACCTACCTACGCTAGAAGCATACAAGCGTATAGAAACCTCTAAAATATAGTAGACTGACTATTATAGTCCGTAAGTGGCTGAAGATCGTCAGGAGCGGATTAAAGTATAAAAAAGTTAGAAAGAGAAGCTAGGATATGTAGAAAATTGCAACATCCCAATATAGGTAAGTACTGAGAAACCGTTCAAGTCTAATACGTTCTTATATTATACAGGGTGTTTCTGAAATAAATAGTAATGTTTGAAGGCTGTCAAACAGATGCAATATTGAATTGCATGGTGAGTTCAGCAGTATGATTAACAGGTAAAAAAAATGTAAATTACAATCCAAAGTCGGAAATCGGTCCTGAGCGAGCAATCCATCGAGTTACAACGATGGAGAATCTAACTCAGTATCGCTTGTCAATAGGCTAAAGTAACCACCAACAAAACTACTACTACACATAATGTTTTGATACCTATCATGATATAGATGAATGAATAACAACATTTGTTTATTGCTAATAGTTTGCAGCATTATTTCCTAATGAAACCATTGATTCCATTTTGGGAATTGTCTTATATAACAACCATGGATTTGAACTCCCTAGCGGTGATATGGTTCGGGTGTCAACACTCACGCGTACCTTGCGATTACTGTACAATTTGATCGTTGCATTAATAGTGATACGCTGATCTACCATCGATTGATTAAATACATCAAGGTTGCAACGTTAAAAAAACACATAACTATTAACTGCAATTGGCTGTAGCATAAACATGTTGAATTAGTCTTATTCTAATCAAATAAATAATATGCTTAAAAAACTTAAAAAACTTTTGGGTGTTTCATTCCCACCAGCCAGTAATGCTGGTGGGCGGGCAGTCCCTCCGGGCTATGCCGGAAGGTAGGGCGGAAGGCCCTCTTCAGCCTGCTTTCAGGAATCGTGGGAATGGGTGGGTGGTGGTTCGGGTGAGAAAGATGAGACGGACGAAATGAAGACAGAAGAGA